CCTCTTCCTCTCTGTTTCATATCTGGACAGGTTGATAAGAAGGCTACTGGGAGATTCAAACTATGAAAGCTTCTACCCATATGCTGACCATTCCAGCTCCCCCAACCCATGACAATTCACGGTAAAACTCAGACCAAGCTCCCTTCCCTGCTCTCCCCAGCCATCTAGGCCTTCTCGAAGAGAGAGACCCTGCTATTTCAGACAGCTCAGTAATAGTCAATGATAATATGAAAGGAAGGAGCAAAAGTAGGTAGGGGACATTTATGCATGAATGAAAAGGCCTGAACATGTTTCTGTTCTAGTTCAAGCATCGGCCTCTTAGGAGCTGAGTACCTGGTGATGTAGGAGGCAAGTGGGTTCTAGAAGGAGTTGGGTGAGAACAGAGAAAGCTAGTGCAGTATGTCTGCCCTCTAGACTGCACCCCAGAGTTAGGAAGACCTAGATAAAAGATCAAAGATAGAATCATAGAAAACTTCAAACTTGACCAGTCTGTAAGCTCCAGGAGAGGGTAGCACTGTGGTTGCTCCAGCCAGTTTCTATGAAACTAGGAAAGTATGAACAGATGGACAGAGTGCTTTCTGTTTTCAGAGCCAGAGAATCCTGGCCATTGTGGCTTCTCTTGGGGTCTCAACAAGGAACTGATCTTTGCTTGGTCCAGAGTCTCCCCACGCAGGCAGAACTAGCTATCCTCTTCATGCCCCTCAGGGCATCACCATTGCAGAACTTAATGCAACAGCTAGACCTTATCCCTGTAAGTAGACAAAGTAAGAGTCCACCAAAGAAAAACCAGCAAACAGAGAGAAGAAGAACAGAGAGAACCCCCAGGGCAAGCGATAATTAGTGAAATAAACCAACTGAAGAGAACAATTTGAATGAAAATACTATCATTTCTTTTGAGAGATATATATGTAGCAAAAAACTCCTTATTTAAAGTTATCACAAAAACTTGAGAAGAGGGTCAATGTTCAAACCTGAACTAATGATATGAAAGATGAAGCCACAGTATCTCAAATAACATACAGAATATAAAGAAACAGAAATTATTAAGATAAAGATAATGGACTTGAACTAAGACTTATACAGTCAAGACTGGCTCGGGACAGGGCAGGCTTCAGAGCTGCTGTACATCAATAGCATTGTTGTGAGTTGTAGGGAACAACAACATATGCTTATTATGAGTCAGGCATAGTTGGCCTATTTAATCTCAACACCTTTATAAGGTGGTGGTTGTCATTATGTGCTGTTGAGCCAGAATCAATTAATGGCTGACTTTCCGGCGGGTTTTCAAAGACTGTGCATCACATAGGAGAAGATCACCCATTTTTCTGCCATGAAGCAGCTGGTGGATTCGAGCCACGTGCTTTTTGGTTGGCAGTGCTCCTTAACTAGGCCACATTGCCATTTTAGAAAGCAGTAAACTAACACACGAAGAAGCTAAGTCACAGATTTGGGCTTTAATCCTAGGAAGTAAGGCTGGTTCCACGTATAATAGGAGCTGAAGAAGAAAAACAGGAGATTGACTAAGTGATAATTAAGCAAGAAGAAATTTTCTCTGAGGTGAAAAGAGATGTCTGCAGATTAGAAGGGCCCACTGAGTTCTTGGAATGGAATAAAAAGACATACACAGACATGCTGGTAAAATCCCCAAACTACAGTGATAAACAGACAATTCGTACAGGTATTCAGAAAGAAAGAACAAATGTCTTGTAAAAGAAAAGAATCAGATAGGCATTGAAATTGTCATTTGTAACATTCAGAGCAAGAAAGGATTGAATAACATCTATAGAATTCATTGATGACATACCACACAATTCCAACCCTGAGCTGGGATCGCAGAGCATTCCCTCGTTAGTGGGCAAGGAAGGCATGTGCTGAGAACAAGGATTCACAAAGAATAGCAGCCAGATAGGCCATTTGAGGAAAATATAAATAAAGGGTGAACTTGATCAACAACTCATGAAGCAAAATAGCAGAGAAAATGAAGGGGGGGGGGGAAATAAAGAGGCAGTGGTGAGCAGCGGCCCATCCCTAGAATCAGCTAAAAACCAACAGGTAAAGGTTGAATCAGTTGGTATGAATAGTTTAAATGATAAGTAGTGTTGTTGTTCTTGTTATGAGCCGTTGAGATGCTTGCAACTCATAGTGACCCTACATACAACAGCTTTGAATCGTGCTCTATCCTGAGACAACCACATTGTCTCTGACCCACCTACCCCTACTACCCGAGTCACTGAGTCAATCCATCTCATCGAGGGTATTCCTTTCCTGCACTGTCCCAGCACCCTCCCAAGCCTGATGTCCGTCTCTAAGGAGTGGTCCCTTCTTGCAACATGCCCAAAGTATTGTCAGATGGATCTCCGAAATCCTTGTCTACAAGGAGCAGCCTGGTCTCACTCTCTCTAGGATGAACCTGTCAGTTCTCCTAGCACTCCATGGTATATACAATACTCTTCTCCAGCACCACAGCTCAAAGGCATCAATTCTCCTTCTATCATTCTCAGTAATAGTCCAGCTCTCCGAAGCATAGCAAGTAATTGAAAAGACCATGTTCTGGATCAGGTGCACTTTAGGCTCCAAACTGACATCATTATTCTTCAGTCCTTTGGAGAGGTCCCTGACAGCAGATTTTTCCAATGCAATTCATCTTTTTATTTCCTGGCTGCTCATATCAAGACTGTTGTTATATTATGTACATTTATATGCAAGTAGAAATATACATAATTCATACAATAAAACAATTTACATGCCATTCATATTTAATATGTTATGTACCATCAAGTTGGAACCAATTGACTGCTGAACCTCCAGCAGGTTTTCAGAGACAGGAAATCACACTGAAGAAGATCATCCGTCTTTCTCCAGGAGAAGAGCCAGTGGATTCAAACCTCATGGTTCTGAGTTGGCAGCGCATCTCCTCACTTCTAAGCCATCAGAGTGCCCCATATACATATGGTTGTTGTTGTTGTTGTTTGGTGCTGTTGAGTCGTAGACGACTCATAGTGACCCTATGAACGAACGGCCTGAGCACTGTTAGCACATAGAGTTTCTGGAGGCAAGCCATTTCGGAAGTGGATGCCGCTCCTGCTTTCCACATTAATTCTGACTCACGGTGGCCCTCCATCAAGTGTTTCTCTCTCTCTCTCTCTCTCTCTCTCTCTCTCTCTCTCTCTCTCTCTCTCTCCTCT